TGCTAGATATGGAGCCAAAAGTTCCTCAGGGAAAAATTGCAAACATGTTTCGTGTCAGTCAGAGCCAGGTGTCACGGATCATGAAGAACAAGGATGCCATCATGGGGCAGTGGAACCGGTTTGCAACCCCTGACCGCAAGAGATGTCGCTTAGGGAAGGCAGGTGCCCTTGAGCAGAAGCTTGTGGACTGGTACAAGCAAGCAAAAAAGGAAGATCTCCCCATTTCAGGTCCCATTCTAATGGAGAAAGCAAAGTCAATCGGTAATGAAATGGGCATTGATTTCAAACCATCGGCTGGGTGGCTAGGAAGGTGGAAAGATAGGAATGGTGTGACCCTGAAAAGGTTCAAGGATAAAGATGGGGCACCCTCCATTACCAAGGTTGGCAACCACTGGAGGAGATACTTGTTTGCCAAGGCCACTAAAGAAGTTCCTCTGCAGAATGTGTGGGTCATTGATGAAACGGTCATTCTGTATAATTCTGTACCTGATTTTATGACTCAAGGAAATATTGGTGAAACTGACAGGATGTCAGTTATACTGGCAAGTAACTTGGCAGGCACTGAACGCAGGCCTGCAGCAGTTGTGGGTCGAGTTCAGTTAACGGGTTCAGCAACATTACCGTGCCCTTTCCATTACCATCCTAAAGGAGCTATAACACTAGAGTTTTTTTCAGCTTGGTTGCGGGAGTGGGATAGAGAGTTGCGGTCAAAAAAGAAAAAAATAGTGATACTTCTCAACAAGACTGCTCATCACCCAGAAAATCTTCCTCTTTTCAACATTAATGTAACTTTCTTTCCTCCAGGAACAGCTTCGGTTTTACAGCCATTTCGCTTAGGTATTATAAACATTTTTAAGGCATTGTACAGACATCAACAACTCAAACATATAATGTCCAAAATTCAAGCAAATGAACACCTGGCTCATGCCAGCATGTTTAACCATAGTGTGATAAACCCACCCACTCTTTCCCATGGAACTTCTGCCTTAGATGCTGTTTTCATGATACACAAAGCTTGGAGACATGTGAGTCCAGAAACCATCGTAAAGGGAGTAGTTAAAGCAGGACTTAGTAAGGACGTAGATGCACTCAATGTCAATGATCAGGTGGGTCCACCCCCAGGCGTCAGTCAGCAGGAGTTTGAAATATTTACTAATTCTGATGCAGATCTGGACACTGGTGATTCAGAGGAGGGTCAGGATGGGAAAGGTAACTCTCAGTCAGGAATGATCACCAATACTGTGCAGTATCCCCATTATTCAAATATGTTTAATGCTTCAAATGCTAAAGCTCAACAGCCAAATCAACATGTTGAAATGCCAGTTGAAAACATTCCAGCTTTACCAAAAGTTTCAGAAGCAGTTATTGCTTGTCAGGTCATAAGGCAGTACTTACAAAGGAGAGGAGGCCATCTTTTCGATGAGTTCTCTGTGTTGGAATCAGCCATTCATGTTGACATGATGCTTGAATCTCGTCCTGACCTGCAGAATGAACCAATGACAGATCCATTACACGACTCCAGTTCAGTTCACAGTATGGAAGCACATCAGCGAGCGCATGATCAAAAGCTGGACTACATCCAAAAGGTGCAGGATGAGCTACATCAGCAAAAGCTTCAGAAAGAGATGAAAAAGAATACTCAAACTTCAGCTGCTCAGAACTCTCAAAGTTCTATTTCAACTCCCACTCAAGACCTAAGAAATGATCTGCATAACCAGCTAATCGAAATCCATAAGCATGACATGCACTCCCAGGACATGGCTGCAAGACAGGAAATGGCACGACATGACCTCCACCAGCAACCCCAAATGCAACGGACTGATCTTGTTCGCCAGGAATTAATCAGGCCAGAGTATAGGCATGAAGTGCATCAGGATAACAATAGACCACGAACATCTCTTGTGGAATTACGCACAGTGAACGCAACTTTCAGGACAGGTATGCCATCCGATGGAAGAAATGAAAACAGAATTGACTTAAAGAATGATGCCATGCCAGTAGTGCCTGCAGATGTACGAAACCTTCCTGGAGTAGGAGACCTTCGTGGAAATGGCAGTGAATTACACCATCCAGGTCTTGGGCCAGAATTAACACAAAACCTGAGACATGATAACAGAATGGAGAATCCTGGTGTGCCATATTACACCATACCAAATACTTTACATCATTACATGCAGCCAAAATAAGTATGAAAATCTGTAACCACAATCTACAGATTACATGAAACTTGTACAGATTGACGATAAAATAATTTTTACTTTAGAAACTTCCCATTCTGTAAAACATGGTTTTATCTTGAAGCACATCTTGTAGGGAAAAATCTTTCACAGTACTTGGAATAATGGTATATTTTCATTTTATTTGCAAGATGAAAGTAGAATCTTGATAAGGATCCTATCTCAACAAATAAATGATGCATTGTATTCCAATTGCAAGTATAACAGGAGGAATACAAAAGTGCCATTGCAAAGGAATTTGAATTTCTTAGTCAGCAAATATTTATTGAAAAACCATAAACTATGTATGCAAATATTTAAGTGATACTTAATGCAGAAAACAGAAAGATGACTGTTTTTCTGTTGTGTGAAATAAATATAGTTCCTAATATTTCACTTTCATAATCATTATTTTGATTTCACACTTTGTCATATATTCTGTAAATATTACTTTTTCTTCCCTTAAAACAATAACCAATAAATACATGTACAAAAATAAAAACATTAAGATATAAAAAAAATGTAAATGCATTTCATTAATGCCATTATTTAAGAGAAGAAACCTAGGGAAGATGATACAATAGAAAAAAGGGACTTCGGTATTCCATACATTTTTAGTTTACTTAATGTAGACCATTGTGAGTGAAAATATTTTCTTTCATTTTAAAGGTTTTCTGTATATACTGTAAATCTTTTTTATATAATTTATCTATTTTTCCATAATTATATTAAGGGAAATGTAAGAAAATACAGTAAACATGTAATTCACCCACAGGCCTATTATTGATAGGTTCTATTATTCATTAAGATTAGGTTGGTAAAGTAAATGTTTGTTTCAAAACCAGAATCAGGAATTAACTTGGTTTGGAAAACCAAGGTAACTGTGTATATACAGAAGTGAATTTGTACACATTTGTAATTTCCTCTCTAATATGTGTTGTATATATATATCTGTACAAATATTTAGTACTTCTCAAGAAATTGCCAAAATACTTGTAAAGTACCTCTGAAAAATGTTTTGCATATATTTTTCCCTTTTGTCTAGATAATAAAAAAATTGTAATACATTAAATAGTTTTACTTTCTGTACAACAATATTAAAACACATGTTCACAATAAGCCCTGTAATCACTCCCATCTTGATTTTTTTATTGTTAGTTGCTGGGATCCGTCCTCGCCAATAGCCACATATGTTTTACTTTCCCTCATTGATGCCTTCATGTATGCAAGATAAGCTGCGCTGCACACAATAGCCACAACTCCAAATGTCATCACTGCTATATTCTGTAAAGGCAAGGCTTTCAATTAACTTACTGTATATAAGTTTGAAAAATAGTAAGAAAAAAATATTAAATTTTTAAATGATGAACTATCACAATTTGACTTATTAAAACAGTCTACATACTCACTGGTTTTACGTAAAGTTCAAAATTGACTGCTTTGAAAACATTTGTAGTCCTGATTGACTTGATGCCATCTCCAGCTGTTGAAGTCGTGGGTTCTGAGGTTGGTGTCTTAGGTGAACTTGTATTCCCTCCCATTGTATGTGTCTGAAGAAAGGAAATGAAAAATAAGTTCCTGAAAATATAGATAAGAAATAAATAAGACAGAGAGAAAGAAAAATGAAAAACATAGGCCAGAAACATCAAACACTGACACTCTCATGTATGCAGCCGACAGCCCATCTGCTGCTTTAGTCATATCTTGTTTATCATAATAAGGAATGAAGCAGCCTTTTTGTTTTACCTCCAACACTCCTTATAAATGGGTTCTTTTATCCCTTACACTAATTGGTATTTAACTGGCATATGGTTACACATCTAATTTCTTGCCTGCCAAAGTAATTGTAGCTTGACATCCTAGTGTAGAAAGGTAGACAGATATCAATATATATGCGTGTTATGCGCTCACTTAGCGCCATACGCATAAACATTGAGATTGAGATCACTGCACGCTTTAAAAGGAACTGGATGTAATGCCAGAAAATATGCTTAATACCAAATATTTTGTGAAAAAAGTCAAATTTTGAAAGCTATCGATCTAAAAGGTATAACTATTTGCATGGCAGAGTTACTGAAAGGTGAGACAAAACCATAAACTTAATTTGTGTAGGGTGCTCTTCACTACTTCATGATCCAAAGCTTTGGCATATTTAATTATTTCTAACCCCTCGGTGATGGCTACAGCCATCATGACATAAAGCATGTAAACCCCTCATGACTCATAGCAGGTGGGCTAGGTGTATACAGCTGTTGAGCTAACTGCCTGCAATATATATATATATATATATATATATATATATATATATATATATATATATATATATATATATATATATATATATATAAATATATATATATATATATATATTATATATATTATATATATATATATATATATATATATATAATATATATATATATATATATATATATATATATATATATATATATATATATATATATATATACACACATACACATATATATACACACATATAAATACACACACACATATATTTGTATATACACACACACACATATATAAATGTATGTATGTATAAAGGTACAATACATGCAATACCTACTTCCCATGTGTGTCCACATCTAGACCACGTGTTGTGGCAGGGGCGCAAACAGGCGTGGGTGAAGCGAGGGCAGTGAGCGTGGGCACGCACATGGCGCGCCTGCCTGCCACACACACGTGGTCTAGATGTGGACACACATGGGAAGTAGGTATTGCATGTATTGTACCTTTATACCGTATAAAGGTACAATACAAGCAATACCTACTTCCCATGTGTGTCCACATCTAGACCACGTGTTGTGGACACACATGGGAAGTAGGTATTGCATGTATTGTACCTTTATAGTATGTATATATATATAATATAATATATATTATATATATATATATATATATATATATATATATATATATATATATATATATACATATACATTATATATATATATATATATATATATATATATATATATATATATATATACATATATACATATATACATATATACATATATACATATATACATATATTATATATATATATAATATATATATGGAAGAAAAACCCACAATGTACAAACTAGATTTATTGATGAAAGTGAGACAACAGTTTCGGAATCGTCCTCGATTCCATCTTCGGGTCTGCTTAGTACTAGTATTAACTACTTCTCTATTAGGTAAAAAGCAAATGTTATGATGTCTAATGCTCCATCTTGCTAAGATATACATGATGGTGTTTTGTTGGCCTCTGTTGCTCCAATTAACACTATCCTCAGTGATGCAGATAGTTTCCATTAGTTTTTATTAACTTAACAGTCTAGATGAAGTGTAGTTCATCCTCATATCTCAGCCAACTGAGATATGTGGAAAAGGTCCCTTTTCAAAGCTGCTGGGGAAGCATTTTTACCATGCTATATGGCATCCAGACACATTATCAATTATGACTGAAAAGACAGTTTAACTTCCTGAAATGCTCGGCAACAGGCTATGAGTACAAACAGTATACAAGAATGGGTAACACATTACAAAAATATAATGATAATAACAATAATTCATGCTCCCTACATCAGCAATTGTTCAACATAGGAACACATGAAACAAAAGCAGTGACTTGTGTTTTGGTAAAAGTAACACATCTCTTTCACAAATATTCAGCAAGACAGAACTTTGAAATGTTCACTACCTGAAGATTAATTGCCAGGGAGGTTTGAAATCTTTACTGTACCATAAAAAAACATATTAAAAAGTTTTTTTTTGCCATTGCTTTTAAGTTCACAACATGCGAGACTTATTCACGCGACCTTATTTTCAAAGATTTCGACGAGCGACTGTGTACTTATTTACACTTTCTTTGAATTATTTCTTTTTGCCTGATACTTTCATTTCATGCGTTCTTTCTGATATTTTTATTTCATGTGTTCTTTATGGGCATTACCTAATATTTCCTTATCGTTCTTACAGCTCTCTACGGCACATTCACCATTATTTGGTTTTAGCCGATGTAAACATTGCTTCATGCAGGGATCATAAGGATAAGGAGACATATAAAGTAAAAGTGGCATCGTAAAATATCTTTTCATAAACGAAGCGGTAAATAACTCATTATAAAATATATATACTAATCATCATGAGAAAAACAGGTTGACAAAAATGGATAGAAACAATTGCAATCAATCATTCTCTCCTCTCTCTCTCTCTCTCTCTCTCTCTCTCTCTCTCTCTCTCTTCTCTCTCTCTCTCTCTCTCTCTCTCTCTCTCTCTCTTCTCTCTCTCTCTCTCTCTCCTCTCTCTCTGTCTGTCTCTGTCTCTGTCTCTGTCTCTGTCTCTGTCTCTGTCTCTGTCTCTGTCTCTGTCTCTCTCTCTCTCTCTCTCTCTCTCTCTCTCTCTCTCTCTTCTCTCTCTCTCTCTCTCTCTCTCTCTCTCTCTCTTCTCTCTCTCTCTTCGTATTAATTGCCAGCGGGTTACTGAATCAGCGACTCGGCCTCGATGTTGTAGAAGTCACTGGGGTTGACACTCAGAAACTATTTAAAATGAAGATTTAGCACAGACACATCAGGAGGGAATCACACACAATGGCCAGGAAAAGGCTCTACACTCTCTCTCTCTCTCTCTCTCTCTCTCTCTCTCTCTCTCTCTCTCTCTCTCTCTCTCTCTCTCTCTCTCTCTCTCTCTCTCTCTCTCTCTGTTGCTATCAACCATCATCCCTTTCTCTCTCTCTCTCTCTCTCTCTCTCTCTCTCTCTCTCTCTCTCTCTCTCTCTCTCTCTCTCTCTCTCTCTCTCTCTCTCTCTATCTATCTATCTATCTATCTATCTCTATCTCTATCTATCTATCTATCTCTTGCAGACATATAAAGCAAAAGTGACCGTAAAATATCTTTTCATAAACGAAGCGGTAGATAACTCATTATAAAATGTATATATCATCATCATGAGAAACAGGTCGACAAAAAGGAATAGAAATAATTGCAATCAATCATCTCTCTCTCTCTCTCTCTCGCTCTCTCTCTCTCTCTCTCCCTCTCTCTCTCTCTCTCTTCTCTCTCTCTCTCTCTCTCTCTCTCTCTCTCTCTCTCTCTCTCTCTCTCTCTCTCTCTCTCTCTCTATATATATATATATATATATATATATATATATATATTATGTCTGTCTCTGTGTGTGTGTATGTGTGTGTGTGGCGAATATACAGACAGAGCAAGTTTTTAAGCGCAAAGTTTTGCACAAAAAATGGGGTCGACCTCTAGGCCACGCCAATAGTAGTCTTTGTTTAGTTTCATGTGTTTCTTTCGTTTTTCAAAATATAATATTTTAGAGAAAAATTCCTTTGATTTGTGGTTTGAAGATTAATTTCACAATATTAACAGCCTGGGTTGCATAATAACCAGTGGAAATACATCTTGCAGAAATGTTTCCCTTCGATGTAAAATTTGGAAATATAAACATGTAATTACCCCTATGTACTCAGTGACCCTCGATAAATAAAGTGAGATTTAATCTTTTCTAGAGGTATCATATATATTAAAAGAGTTTGGGTTGATTATGAATGGTGATGCAAAATTACAACTTAATTGGAATATAAAGGGTCGATTTCCGTGTGACTATGTGTTTGCCTACGTGTGTGTAAAGGGTGCGTGCGAGTTCTAAATTATATAGACCTTGCGTATGTGCATGCAAGGTCTATATAAGTACTTATATAGACCTTGTGTGCATGTACGTGTCTGTGTGCTTGCGTATGTGCGTGTGTGTCTGTGTTGTGTGACTGTGTGTGTGTGTGTGTGTGTGTGTGTGTGTGTGTACGTGTATGTGTGTCTCTGTGTATGTGTATGAACCCATTTCTGTGCAAGGTCTATATAAGTATAAGTAAGTATGTGCGTGTGTCTGTGTGTACGCGATTGTGTATATGTGAGTGCGCTTGTGTGTGTGTGCACGTGTGTATGCATGTGTGCATACATTTCGAAGTGTGGGTATGTATGTGTGTACGTGTGCGTGCGTCCATGCATCTGTGCGCGCGTAACC